GCAACCTTAACTTTAAGGGTAGCCATACATAATGTTGTTATTAATCTTCCTTGAGTCAGTTATGCACACATCTACCTTTATGAAAGCCAACAGAATACAGGATATCACCCCCCTGCCTCCCAAAATTGCTTACCAGGCTAAGAGCTAGCAAAAAACCCAAAACAAACCCAAACCAAAAGACAAAAAAAGAAAGCTTTTTGACACTTAATTGCGTATCTTAATACAATGATCCATATAACTTGCCAATCACACAGGCATCATCTATGGGGTTTTAATTTTTTGAGTGTTTTAACATTTGCAGAACACATTAATAAAGAACATTTTAAAGCATGAGGCTTAAAGATTTTACAATTCTTTTAGCAGTATTGCATCAATTAGAGCACATTTTGAAATAGTAATTTATTTTTTTAATCCTGAGCACTTTCAACTTGGAAGAAAATTCTTCAGAAAACTCTTTTCAAACCACATGAACATTGCCTTTATTTCTTACTTGGCTGGACACAGTATATGCTAAAATAAATCACTAACGCTGTAAGACATGACCTTATTTTTTCATAGATCATGCCCTATTCTTGAGCAAGAGATTCAGGTTGCAGAAGGCAGAAATGAATCCAGAGCTGAGTTTTAAGCACAACTCTCAGGGGATTTCTCACTGTAACAGCACAATGCTGCCAGAGGCATGTATGGACATGCCCTAAGGTCTCTCTTTCTGGCTATCCTCTCAAGAAGGCAGAGCAGCAAAATGAATAGTAGTTCTGCTATACTGTGTTTACTATATGTAAAAACATTCTTTTGCAGAGCATAAATTGAGGATTATAGTTTTAAACAACTGCTCTAGGGCTAGACCGAATGTTTAACTCATCTGACAAAAAGAAGCAAAGGAACTAGGGCTCTGTGCTGCTGAATTTGGACACTTTCTGCATATTGGATCCTGAAGCTCATATTAAGCTTCTCAAACCTGTTGTTTTGACCAGGTAACCTGCTATCACAACTGCCTTAATAGCTTTCAACAAACTGGGTCACAAGTTTTAAAGGGCAAACATCACTTGGGAGAAAGATACTAAGGGAGTTAAACATCCACTGCAGACAGAATAAAATCCTTGCTGTGTGCAATGTGGAACCTCAAGTGTACACACAAAAAAGATTCAGCAGAAATTACCTGTGTGCAAACGTAATCTTTCATTAAATGAGCTAGCAGAAAACTGGCCAGATTTTAGCTAAGGGTAAAAGGAGCACTCCTCAACTATCTTCCTTTTAATCCCTAGAACTGTTGTTGGTACAGCTTTATGAGGATGGCATTTTTATCTTATTTTTCTGATGGTCCTAGAAAAAGATAAACCGTACATATAATAGGAAGAGCTGTTCTATTGCTAACTAGAGAAAAGTTACACAGCAGTCAGAACTTGACTCTCAAGAAAGCCAGACTATACATACTCCTACTCTACATAAACACAGGAAAAAGCAAGTATTTCAGAAAAAGGAATGGCTTCATCTACAAATAGAGTTCTATGTATTTTTACACATGCTACCTGAAATAAGTTTGAACAAATGGCACTCAAACACCTACCTGGAACAGCTTTTCGTAATCGAGATATATATCAGCATTTCCTAAATAATTATTTAGTTTTGGAAAGAGTGAATTTTAGAAAATATTTATTTATTTTAACAACAAAAGAAGATATCTGAGAGAAGTGAACTTTTTGTATGTGTCAATATATTTGCCAGGCATTCAAGACTGATACTGCAATAAGCTTTGCCAGTGGCACGGTATCTGAAAGACCCACAGGTTCCATAGTAGGAGGCTCTGCAAGCACTACAGTGACACTAGGTGAAAAAGAACAAGATCAAATCCCCCTGGATGGGATAAGTATAAAACCAAAGGGTAATTATTGAGATTTGCTGTTGCATGATTTCATCTGAACAATGAGAAGGGCAACCAGATGGTAAACTATACATATTTAGGCATTAAAGAATACAGGAACTTAACTACTCTTCCTCTGCTATCAGCAAAGGCAGAGTATTTCCCACTTTTCCATCCCTTTTGCATAAGAGAATTTTAAAGCTCTGACCCCTCTGCTGCTGAATTAAAGCCTCACTAGATACGAGATAAGACTCCACACCTGGAAGTGGAAGGAAAAGGAAATCCTTGCTTTCCCCCTCCATAAAAGAGCTGGCTTTTCACTTGGGAATGGAGAACGACAGGCATTTAAAATGTCTTTCAGGATGCAGTAACTCGCACTAGATAGGCAAATACATACTGAGGTAAAATTTCAGGAATAGCTACTATTTCTAACAGCTATTGGTCTCCTGACCAAGCATAAATAGTAATAAGGTTAGTAAGGTTAGTGTATTTACTCCATCAAAACATCACTTTCTGGTTTAGTGAGTGAAGCACAAGCTCGGAAGAATGAACATTTTCTGATTAATTTTTCTCTTTTCTATAAGATATCCCATCACAAAAGGATGAAGTACTGTCAAATCTCGCTAGACGGTCCTGTTCCAGCCACTGGAGTTCATAAGCTTCCTTTTTACATCTGTTTTAACCAAGCTCCAACTTATCCTTTAAGGTTATCTCTTTTCTACTTTAGAAAGGTTCTCAGAGAAACCTCTTTTAATCAACCAACTAAGAATCCTGGAAGTCAGTAATTCAAGTCACTCGTGCCACGATCCTGCATCACCAACGCTTTCACAAAGCCATTACAAAATCTCCTTTTTACACTTACTGAAAATAATCTACAGAATAGCAAACAACCCCTCCCCAAACCAACCCTTGTGCAATGTAAATCAGACAAAACAGAACTAGAGTAAAACTAATATAGACCTCCACTTGAAATAACTGTATTTTCAACTAAAGTTGATTACTGTTAGATTTAATATAAAAATTAAAAGCCCTCCCCCGGACTGCGACAATTGTGAAATTGACAGCGGAGGTGGAAATTAAAAGCACAGAGCAAGAAATCCACAATGAATTGTTGCAGCCACTACAAATAGGAAGTAGTTAGCGGAAGGAAAACCTTCACTGTCAAATGGAAAATAAGGAAAGATCATCTTTTTAATAAACTTTCATTTGCCCTTTTTCCCCCCTTTTACTCTCAGATATATATGCAGAATGTGCTTGGAAGCAGCAAAAGAGCAGAGCTTCAAAAATCACCCATCAAACAATTGTGCTACTTTTAATAATTTATTAAAGATCCTAAAACAAAGATCAAAAGGGAATATATCTAAGCATTTATATCCAATTCCACATCGCCTGATGACTAATTTGTAAAGACTGCACAAGTCTTCACAACTGAAGCCAAAATCATTTGAGGATACTTTGATATAACGCCACAAAGGATATGAGCAGGAAGGCAGCAGGAGTTACAAATGGCCAAGCTCCATTAAAAGTGCTAATAAAAGAATAATGGAATTTCCTTGTACTATGAATAAAAAGTGTTTGGCACAGTAGAATTTAGACACGAAGAGGAATATCAAAGCTTCTGGTTCATCGGTTGCTTCTCCTTATTAAATCTTAATTGACTTACTATTACATTTACCTTAAAATGCTTCAACTCAAAAAAGCAATGATCCCATTCAAAATCTTGTCACACCAATTTCCGTTATTCTTCATGTTTCTCAATTTTCAGAGGCCCTTAATGTCTGCTTTACCAATCCTTGTAAATAATGCAAGTCTATCTATAAAAAAATACTTTGAAGTGATGGATTTAACTTGAAATTATATGTAATTATTAAAATTATAGAATGTACCTACTGTTTGACAATGGTTTTTTAAACTGTAAATTTTCAAGTTGCTGGTAGCTATGGAACTCTCATAGCAACAACCTACCTGATAAATTTAATCCATTAATATTTACACAATGTATTTCTTTCTCATAGACGTGTAGTTACACACATACATGCATGTATTTGTACATACAGATAGGTGCACATACATACACAATTCTGCCACCTTCTTCCCCCAAATATAAAACCTAGCTAATTTTTCCAATGTATAGCTATTTGGTACGTGGCCAGGAAAAGAAGGGGTAGAGTTCAGAACTTTCCTTTGAAATGTCTAAACAAAAAAATGTTTCAAATTTTTCTTTTTTTGAAATGGATACTTGCAAAATCACATATACTTTGCAAAACAGAAGCAGCAAAGACCGCGATCGCATACTGCTGACAAATTGTTAAAGGATTTAATGCACTTGCTTAAAAAAATGCCCACAGATGCATCCAAGACAGGAGGAACTCCCTGAAAATATTTACAAATCTACTTAACTCCTTCAATCTGCTGCTTAATGCTCTGTTTTGCATAATGTCTACAAAAACCCCACGGCAAATAGTTATAGCACAGAAATGCTGTGATCTCTGTCTCCTGGTTCTCCAAAATCTTCTTGTAACAGCTTTAATTTTTTATTTCACATTTCACATCTTTAGGAACGTGATCTTCTTTTCTTACCCTATAGTATGGGATATAATAAACAAGGGGTTTTTTTACCAGGGTTCCCAGACTTTACAAATAAGGATCAAGTTATAATGATGATGTGTATTTCTTCTTCTTCCCCCAGACAACCATCAGGCTTGTTAGCAAAGCAGCCTCTTCCGATGATGCTTCCAGAATCAACAGATAATTCATTAGTATCATGTATCTCAGGGCCTAATTGACACAACAGGCTAAGCAACATACTCAAGGGTAACACAGTTTCTAAACAGAGAGGAAAAGTAGGGAAATCCGATACCACATATGGTCACTTTGCAAGATTTAGTGTCAGTCTATAATATACTTCTATATGAGGTTAATGTGAGTCATTGGTTTCACAAATCAGAAAATGCAGCTTTTCAAGCTTGGCTTGAAGAAACAAAGAAACATTTATAAGATAGCATAATTTAAGTAACATGAATACCCTAGTGCTTTCATTTTTATCATTTCCTCTCATTTTTGCTTAAAACATGAAATATAGTTATCATGAGTGTTTGGAATAATTCTTAACAAACGTAGGTAGTATATTTTTTCTTACCTTATGATCATATGGATTGTATGAATGAAACAGCTGGGACAGATCCTTTGTTCTCTGTTTTTTCTGAAAAGTAATATTAATAAATAAACTGTATTAGAAAAGTTAAAGGAAAAAGAAAGAGACTACTGATTTAAAAAGCTGTATGCAGGTACAAACACATTCTCTCCCCACTTTGTTAATGGAACTGTAGGTACGAAGAGCAGTGTATGCAGATTAAGTATATTAAATATCACAGGAAATAATTAACATATATATTAACAATGTTAAGAACATATCCTTAATAAATAAGAAACACTAGTCTATGGAACATCAGTGGAATGTGTAAACAATTCATATTTGTTTTAATTTCTGCACAATAAATCATAAATAATGTTTTAGAATACAGATAACAAAACTTGAAGATTAGGCTCCAATCTTGCAAAGACTTGTCTACTATTCTAGCACGTACACGCAGTCTTGCTTTATAGCAGATTAGGTTTAAAGGAAGTCAGTTTAAAGAAGAATCATTTATTATTTTTCGATTTCTTTTGATGCTAATACTCTCATTGCCTTGATTGTGGAAAATTAATAGGTGGTATGCCATTTAATGCCAAAGCAAAGGGGAAAAAACTCCTTCTGTTAAGAGTAAAGTTCAAAGACAAAACCTGCTTAATCCAGCTTCTACTGAAATCAATGAAGGAGCTTTCAGTGATTTCAGCAGATGTTAAATAGATTCTCTCAGCTGCATCCTATGGAGGAGGGGCCAGGGAGAGGAGAAAAACACCCTTCATCTTTAATGCAGGGATGAGTCACAAATAAGTTCAAAGTTTTATTATGTCACAATCTACGTTGACTTACGTCATAGCTCAGGAAGGCAGAGCATTGCATGTTGGCAACTGTGTAAAGGGGAGACAACTACAAGAACTCCTTGCTTGTAGTCTTGTACTGTTGTCTCATTTTAGCCATCGTTTCTGTGAAAGTAGTTTTCCAACTAACTCTTAGGATCTGTTCGTGTTTCCAGCATGCTAGGAACTATATAGACAGCTGCATGACTGCAGTATTTATTTTAACTTCTGGAAACTGTAGAACAATTTAGTACTTTTTGATTATGCAAAAGGAACTATGTATTTCCGTTCTTTACACAATTTTTATTTTCAGTGAAATGTTCAGATGCAACAACTCAGTCATAAAAGCTATAACTTTAGTTACTAGTACAAATTTATGACAGCTGGATACTTCTGAGTCATTAAAGATACCAGATTAATATTACTACTTCTGTGAGGTCCCTACCTATGTTTTAGTTACGACTGCTAAAGAGTCAAGAAAATAATTTTTTACTTACTGTCCCTCTTCAAACAAGAATGGTAAGTTTTGTTTTCAGTATGAGAAGGTTAGTTCTGTCATAGACAATTCTATTCAATTACCATAAGTAATATCTAACAAGACTTGTTTCTCTGAGTTTACTAAGGGGCTTTAAAACTAACAGAAGTTATATTAAAAAAGACATTTCTGTTAGTATAGACTTTCTCAGCAATCAAACATGCCTTTGCCAAAGAAAAGATCTCCCTTAGTAGAGGAACCTTTGCCTTCTAACCCCCATTAATACCTCTTTTATTTCCGATGGGAAAAACCCGACTCAAATGAAAGCATCAGGTAGCACAACCCAAATTCCATCACCACCCTACGATGACTTTTTTCCTGGTAGTAGAGTTATACACAGTGAAAGTGCTTAAAATACTATAAAAAGGATTTGGAGAAATGTGATTAATAAATTGAAAAGAGATATCGTAATGATTATATAAAAAGGATGCTTGAAAAACTAATTTAATATAGAATCATGCAAGAAGTAGACAAAAGCATTTTAGTTTGGAATCTGGAGACCTCCACTAAACTTTCTAGGAAAAAAACCCCACAAAATCCAGAAAAAGTCTATTTCGTGCTTTTTCTTACCGAAGACTACTTCTCTTGAATCCATTTTGACTGCACACAGAGTGCTTTTGAGTATTTTTTTTTTTTGCCATAGCTTTAATAACACTCAATAAAATTATATGACAGAAACCCTCCTATCCTTCACCCTCTGGCCAAAATGCTATTTACACACTCAGCTAGACAAGATGAAGAATGAAGATGGCTTCCCTTACACAACACATTGACATAATCTTCCACTTTTTATTATAGGAGATTATGGTTTTTTTCCTACCTTTCCACAAAAAGTAGAAGTTTTGCTTTTTGTACAAAACTAAAATGCTCCTGACTGGGGAAATGCTGGAAATTCATGACACAGAGCACGATGGAATGGAACTTCTGGAGATGCACATGAAAAAATGCTGCCCCCAGGACGCCCCGTATGCTTAGCTGATCTAAATCTAAACAGCGTTTGACTACTTTGTAGGAACTCTGAATACACAGAGACAAAAATGTTTTAAGCACAGAGTTAAGCTTGCTTAGTGATAATCTGTGTCTTTCTAGAACACCGAGTTCAGCTTAACTCAGATCTCTAAAAACCAGAAATATAAAACATTTCAAAACACAGAGACTAAGAAAAGGACAAGGAATTCATGCTGCTATAATGGTAACCCCTTCAACTCCTACAGCAGGCATTAGCCACATGGTATTAATAGTAAGTTTTTTACATGAAGAAAAGGCACGGTTCCCAGCTCACCTGTAAGCAGCGTAAAGCAGAGAGTAAAGCAGGCCTCTCCATGACAGAGGAAAATAAGGAGCCCAAAAGCTCCTTCTCCTTCACTGCCTCCAGTGGACTATTTCAGTCCCTAAATTGCCTATTTACATGCATCTCCCCAGAATTTCCTTCCTTGACACAGCTTCATACTCCTATTTCTCCTTCCTTGGCTTAGTCAAACATCCCTTTCAAGTACTCTCTTGACCAATACAAAAATATTTTTCTTCCCCCATCTTCCTGCTCTTTCCCTTCAGTGTTCTGATTCCCATTCCTTTGTTCTGTACCAATAAAGCTGTCAAAATCACATAGTAAAAAGACACTCAAAAAACCCTTCTGAACTTAGGCAAATGTACTGTCCCATCATACTGTTCCATGTACAGCAGCAGTATCACTTTCAAACATCCTCACAGACCTGCATAGGATATATTTAAATTTATTATCTTTCTGAAAAAATTCAAGAGTCTTTCCAAGATCACCATACAAATTAGCACAGGGTATTTCCAAAAGTGAAAAGACCTCTTAGGAGTCTGATAGCAGCATCAGACTTGTAGCTTATTTCTGTACTTCTCTCAGGCTTTCCATATATTGATACAGCCTATGTTCACTGACGACAGAACATTTCCTTAAACCAAGTTACTCTTGGCAGTGGGTTACTTGCAATACTCTTACTCCGTCTGGTTGTATATAATTTTGGTGCAAGAGCATTTGATACGTAACAAGCCAGGGATACACTATTCCTCCACAAACTTTTCCAGTATTGGTTTGCCAACAGGACAGTCAGAATCATGTATTATTTGAGATAAATATCATACGACTTAACAAGACCAGTAAAGTCTCAGTCCGAGAACTGTGCACAATTTCCTACTTGTGCATCGAAGCAAGCAGTGGTGTATGAAGTGGGGATTTTTTTTAAGCACTAATAGCAGGCCATCTGGGGAATCGCAGAGCCGTAGCCTATTAATACAGAAGGAAGGGCTTTCCCTGGGTGGAGGGTGCTGCCTTCATCACTGCTGTGTACAACTGTTCACATGCTGGAGTCTGTGGGAGCCCAACAAGATCCTCCTAAGTTTACAACAAGCAAGACTCTGGACATAAGGTTCCCTAATATATGTGTGTGTGTGTGTGCGCGCGCGCGCACACACTTTACAGGGGCAGAGATTTTGTTAGGTTACAAAATTCTGATGACTCAGTCATGCACCGATTTAAATTTTAAACCCATAGTCCTTAGTTTGTAGCATTTAAAGAAACAAGTTTAAGGAGATGAGCTAGATAAAGAGATACATTCAGATAGCATGCTAATGTGGGCCCCTAAAAATACACGCATATGACTGTGCAAACAGTTTTTCTGCAAACAGACTTTTCTGTCTCAATAAGTTTTAAAAATGCCATATTATATGGGAGATACAACGGAGACACTTTTTATTTCTATCTTTAGCTGGAAAAGTATGTGAAAGCCTGATGAAGAATGGATTAAAGTGCTACTGCAGGACTGAGTTAAATACTGTAAAATCATGTATATATGTACACATAAGTATGCCAGGATGGAAAGGTTTCCCTAAGTAAAGCAATACTTTTTTAAGTGAATTATTTCAAGCTTGTTACTAAAATACACATAAGTAATTACGTGCTTCTCAAAAGACAGGTAGTGTTCAACACGCAGTTACAAAAATAAGAACCAGAAACCAACATCAACTAATGAAGTTTCTTATGACAACATACATAGACAACGTTAGTAGCGAGGAAACAACACACTACCATAATTTCATTATTTCCCCCCCTGTAAGCATACGTACAAGTAACACATACTTTGCTCTAAATATTTCCTTTCTCTGTCTCTCATTTTCTGGGCCTCAGATTTTCGAGGTGTTATTTTTAACTATGGAGATTTTTTGAAGGGACACTGGTCATCTGAGATGCATATTATATGCTTAAGGTATAGTAACAATAAAGGATCCTTTTAGAACACATCCAGAATTATAAACCAATAAAGCCAAGAGTTAGTGACCTTCTTGGTGTTTTTACTCTTTTTTCTTGTGCACTGATATTTAGCAATAATGAAACATTTTCTAATGCTTTAAGTGGACTACACTGTGGATTATTATCCTACTTTTGATCAGGAAAGATCACTTGAAGAACAAATAGGTAGAACGTAAAAAAACCAACCAAACAAAAAAAACCCATACAGGATGATTGCCTAAAACTGTTTAAAATATTTTCTGCACAAGTTAACCAGCACAGAATTTTGTGTTGACTACTTCAGAAAAATAAAGCTGAACTTAATTTCCCCCCCCCCCCGAATAATGGTGTGAAAATAGGGTAAAGTTAAGGGTATCCTAACAATACATTTTTATAAACAGAAAATACTTTAGAAAAGTAAGTTTAGAAACGAAATAACTATACCAAA